GAGGGGTTTAAGTCTCAGGTTAGAGGTAGCTATGGTCAACTTGTTCTTGGCAATGTTATCCAAGTACAATTTATTTTAATTGAAGTCCTTAAAGGGTATACAATTATTCTGCAGTGGGGAAATTCGAGACAAGATACAAACATTGATTGAGGAACTTTTGGTTACAAGGACCAACAAAGGACCATTTGGGTGGACATAGAATCTCAGTGGTCATGGATGTTCAGATAATGTTCGAAAGTAGGGCGTCAACTTTAATGACCGACCATCTGTGCGTCAAACTTGACAAAAGAATTACTTACGTGTTGCATTACACTTCCAACACACGGGGCGGTGGGGTAGCCTAGTGGTTAAAGCTCATGCCAAGGCCCAGGTTCAATTCCCCACATGGGTACAATGTGTGAAGCCCATTTCTGGTCTCCCCTGCTGTGATATTGCTGGAATATTGCTAAAAGCAGTGTAAAACTAAACTCACTCACTCACTCTAACACGCAGCTAGTGAGTGATCATGTCTGAAAAGGCTCAACAAGTGGGTGATGGAATGAGCACCAATACACATTCAAGAAGAACTCTACCTGAGTGTCTCGATTTGGGCTTGCTTGGCTGACCCGCCCTGATTCCATCTGACCCCCCTGTTATAAATGACAGGTGCCTGAAGACTAAATACAGTAGTTGCCAGAAGAGCCATAAAAGGAAAAGATCAACTTCTTACTTGACATGCTCAAAGTCCATGCTACTGATGAACAATTGTGGACTTAAAACATGGCTTCACTTCAACGGATCTGTAGTCTCCTAAGATCCACACAATGTCAGTTGATCATAATTGAGCAAACCACCATCTATTCATTCCCTCCCGAGGGACCATGTAACTGATCAAGCTCTTCATGCCTCAGTTCAACACTTCCTGAACACAATTGGAAATCCAGAACAATCACTGCCTATCAATACCAAACTGCATTTTAACAATAACGCAATTAGGTCCAAAGGCATCTGAAACTACAAAACCATTCATGCATAAATCATGTTTCCATAGCAACAAGAACATATTTGTATGTAGGCTACAAGCACAGCTGTCTTATGTGACAATCAAAAAGCATTAGTGTCATAGCTAAGGGGATGAGGAAGGCTGGGGCTGAGTGAAACAGCTGGTCTTTCAGCCAGGAGGCAAATAAGTTTGTTAAAGGGCATACTGTTACAAAAGTGAGCTATAGAGTTGTCAGAGCTTCAGAGTGAGTGAGTGAATATGGCTTTATAACCAGTTTGGTTAGCAATATTCCTTTGAGCAATAAATGTACCCGGGGGAGACACCAGAAATGAGCTTAATACAGTAACGATAAGAAAAACAGCAAGTTGCCCATGTGAAATAGAATCAAACTTTATTTTATCTTCAGTAAGATCAAATTGGACGCATCAACCACTCAGGCTACCCTTAACGGAATTGAGTTTTACATAGTTATGCAGCTTATCTGTACCTCTGAGTTGGGCAGATAATCTACACACATACAATGTATCCCAATAACATATAAAATCACTATAGATTCACCAAAATATCTTATTCTTAATTCGGTGCCATTCATTGTTCAGTGAGCATGACGCCATAAGTACAATATACTGAATCAAAATAGAAGTATAAAAAGCACCCTAAAAACTGTGATGACAAACAAAGTCCACTTGAACTGAGAACAGCATTGACAGAAGATATGCCACATTAAACAAGTATTCCAACACAAAACAGTCACAGCAAGCCATATTGTGACATTAGTAGCTGCATTTCCAGAAAGAGTAGTTTCAAGTGAGAATATATTCCAGAATTAAAAGTCAGAATCAAGAACAATAGACACAAAATAACATATCTGAAGAATAAATACATCTACAGAAGAGTTTCTGTCAAAAACACTGGTTACTGTCAAAAATGTCTCATTCAAAAAATATATTATTGTTCAGTATGTATATTCTAAGAAAACAAAGTCATGAATAAATAACATAAAACCAACCACCAACAATATGCTGAATCCTGTACGATCAGATCAGGGTTTTGTCAAGAAGAATGCCCTTAACAATCAGTTGGAAGACACATGGCAACCTTTTCACACAACAACATAATTATAAAGCTTTTAGGTTGACTTAAAACAATAATGACCCTTGGAGAAAAGATGGAAATAATGGACGTACAATTGTGATGGGAATAGAATTGAGATAACAATTTCCAGGAATGCTGACTTTTGTTCTCCATTATTTGCAAATACAAACAGAATTTGCCTCCCACATCTTGATTCTCTGCCAACAAACGAAACAGTGTTGATCGAAATGTAATGAGATCGTTTGTTTTTGTTTTGCACTTTCAAAAAACATGAAAGCCGTGATTTGTAAAGATTATTTCAGAATTAGAACAAAGGTCAGCAGTTTGAAGAAGCTTTGAGGAGATGTGACTGCTTGAAGTCTTCAAGTCCATGTGTTTTTGAAAACCTTGAAGTGTGTTGCATCACTCAGACGCTGCGGAATATTTATATTCAGCATCACCTGTTCTGTATTTGATAACTCAAGCACTCCTGGTTGCTAACGGTTTCAAGATGTTGAGTAATATATTCCGTTTCATGTCGTTTGATAACAATATGAATAGTTGCCAGTATTCCACACATCCTTTTGACGTCAAGTATCAGTGGTCCATTCAGGACTACTTACACTGCTGAAGGCAATTTGTAGCCCCCAAAAAAACCAGGGAAATTTCAAGGGAAGTCTCAAGTCAAAGCATCTTCAAAGTGTATTACATGACTGCCTATATCTGACTTGAAGGGAAATAACTTATGTAAGAAAGAGGTATTTCAAACAGCTGTCAGCTTATCTGGATGTTGATTCTCAACACGACTGACTGAGTTTCAATGCTGTTAAAGAAACAGATAAAAACTCTGATGTATTGTCAGGCTTGGAAACATAAATCCATAGGTAAACGCGAACATTGACATTCATTTTGAAACAAAACTGATCAAATGATATTCAGAGTCTGCCAAACAGAGACAGATCATTCACATTTCAGCTTGTCAGGTAGTTTCTATGGAGCTCTTTGTAGGATTGGTAATCTTCGACATTAGAATTGGACAAAGACTTGGAAAACTAAATTGCTGATGCTATTTTATTGCAATATTAGCCGACAAAGGAAATTTGTAATTCTGAACATTTCGGGTTATTATTTTCCCGAACATACCAACCTATTTATGAGAAAGAATTCAAAGCCTGATCAAGTCATGGTGTCTGCCTCGGCTCTTCCAGGGTCAAAATGGCCATTGTTGCAAAACTTAGAATAAATTGTCGTCTTCAATTAGTGTATACGTTCTAAATGGCATTTCTGACACCAGATTCGGACAGAAACTGGACAATTATAGCAACACAAAATTTGAAGGAGGTCTAATTAGTCTATGCTAAACAGCAGAACAGTCTGGTGTCTTGGACAAATTACAGATGCTACAACAAGTGACCACTGGCTTCTTCATTGCTGACCTGTCACCACTGGACTTGTGCAGCTCTTACATATACTACTCAAAACAAGTTAAGAAAAACTGGAAAATTCATTTTACAATAGTTTTTGCTTGAGATGATTGTAGAAACATGAGTAAGTGGGTGAGTTTAGTTTTACGCTTTTAGCAATATTCCAGCAATATTACGGCGGGGGACACCACAAATGGGCTTCACACATTGTACCCATGTGGGGAATAAAACCTGGGTCTTCTGCGTGACAAGCGAATGCTTCAACCACTAGGCTACCCAACCGCCCCAGTTGGAATATGAAACAGTGGCCCCTTAAGTATTTTGAGTGGTATATGAAATATCTGCCTTTTCTGGTCAGGTTGTAGGCCTTTAGGTGCCTAAGACTGGTTCGCTAGTCAGGTTTCGTGATTTGGTTGATTGACCACTGGCCCCCCCAACAATCACGAGTTTGTCTGGTCAAGGCTTGGTAAATCACAGGCTCCAGTTACACAGCTGGTTGGTGCCTAACTGTGGCCTTAAATTTATTTACGATGGTCATATGCAATGAAGTATTGTGTAGAAGGATCAAGGATATATTAATCAGGTTACAATTTGAAGCATATTCAACTTTAGACGTCACATGAAAAGTATTGATATTTCTGGTGGGAGTGGTGTTCAATTAGTTATGTTCCAATGGTTCCAACTCCAGTCAATTCAGCTGGTGTGCAGACATTCTGCAGCATAGACACAAGGTCAACACATTTCATACTGCAACTGCTACGATATATTTTCCGATATTCCCTACATGTAAGCTATGTGATAACTCATGTGTCCTTCACAGCAGTATTTGTACAGGAGTATTTGTCCACCAGTGTCAGATTACAGTACATATCCTGAACAACAAAAGAAAGGTATCATGAATACTTTAGGAGATATTGTTTCATACTGATGCTATTTCACAAAACTATTTTTGTTCAGTATGTACACTGGAAATATCTCCTGGTTGCCAATTTCTGCATCAGTGAGGTTAGGTGAAAAGGGATTTAACGTCGTACTTAAGAATATTTCGCAAATATGAAGAAGTGCATGAATGTGTATGTGTTGCTGCTTGTACTAGCCCAGATTTAAGCTAGTTTTACAGTGCTAGCTCACTGAGATACCATGCCGCAGTTAAGCATGAATACCCCACTCAGACACATTATACTGACTCTAGGCCGACCAGTCCTTGTTGGACCCATTACTGCCAAGCGCCAGGCAGGGAACAAGTACCATATTTTAACGTCTTTTGGTATCACACGGCCAGGGATCAAACCCGTGGCCTTCCACTCTCTGGGCGGATGCTCTAACCACTACACCACGGAGGCTGTCTCTGCATATGCGTGATACAATGCATAGTGTACATGCTACTCTACTGGTAGACAGACCACCTTCACAAAGGGATCTCAGCATTATAAGCCCATTAATCTTACCCAGACCCAATCCACAACTTTGATTACTTTGTGAAGGTGGTGGTCGATGATATGTTCAAGATTGGAACTTACCCTCTTGACCGGTCCATACACTTCAAACTCTCTCCTCAGTTTCGACTCGCTTGTATCGTAGTTCTGTAAACAAACATGTACTGGTTAGACCAATGCTGCAAACATGAGGGAATAAACAACTGATGACTAAAGAGGGAGTAAGAAGTCAGTTTGGAAGGATCTGAAATCAAGGTTCACCTGAAGATCAGCGCCCCGATCTACAAAGCATTCGTAACGTTAAGACATGTCGTAGTCTTATGAATGTCGTAGCGCTAAGAACGCTTAGTTGAACGGGACCCTGAAGAGTAATTTTTTCCCAATATATCATTCCTCTCCAACAGGAGTAATGGTGATACTTTCTTTGCAGAAACGCGATACAAAAGTGCACAAAATGACAAATATGAATGATTTCAAATGTCCTTCGGGGAAGAAAATATTGAGATTTCAATCAAACTCAAACAATCTGAAAATATTAAACAGAATAATTAGTTTCAGATTTTCCTTTAGCATCATCCAAGGTCAACCTGGTGTGAAGCAGTGACGGCTGCATGACCCTCGAATATGTAGATCGATCACTCCGATCTCAGAACCTGACTCACAGAATCAGCCAATACCTACATCAATCAAAATCAGGGGACTTCAAAATTTAATTGAGAGAAAAGACGCATCACTCCAATGTGATAGTGAACTGCATATTCCTTTCCCAATGAATCACTGTCACATTACTTAACCATGCACAGACCGTACGATCAGTACCAAATACTGATAAATGGCTTGTTGCTCAACCAATTAACTTGACATTCATCCGAAAAGATTCCACGTCACGATTCCATATGCCATCAGTGTGTTTTGGACCCAGATGCTGAATATGAAAGCTGTGTTTATGCACATGCAAAAAGTATACGACGATTTTTGGCATGATTAGTTTTGGGTCATATTTATATCACAAAAGTACTATTTAAAGATCAACTTCAATGAAAAAAGTTCATTTTTATAACTGAAACCCAAAGAAATTTGGAGAATATAAAATGACCAAATAAATCAGGAACACCCCTCAACTCCAACAGGAACCCCCCTCAACTCCAACAAGCCACCAAGGCCAAAGCCACTCTATCTTGATGACCTCATAAACAAAACCAGCCACAGGAGAGTGACCAAACATGGGGAATATATAAAACACATTAGCATTCTTTAGTAGTAATGGATAATATATTCCTCTCATCGATATACACATATGTTACAGGGTTGAACCAAAAAGAAGAACCATAAAACCATTTCTATGCAGGGTTTACTTTTTACGAGGTCTATTTGAGAATAATGACAATTCCAATACCACCTAATGCACTTCTAAGGACAGATTCCCCTAACACCAAAATATTTGTACAATGCTTTTATATACTTTGTCGCCATCAACCATTCCACAATAGAACACAGTTAGTCTACAGAATCAATACCTACAGCCTTCTGAAACACAGTACTCAGGTTGTCTGTTTAACGAATAACCAATTGCAATCAATTATATTACAGTCCAGAGCTAGGTGGATGTACTTAATACAGAGGAGCTGAAGAGGAAAGCTCTCTGAAAGCAAAGACTCTGGGTGTTCTTGCTGACATGCCATCGCAAAAATACCATTCGAGGTTGTTCAACCTTGAAAATACAATAAAAAATATCTAGTTCACCAAAACCCAAAACAATCTGTAAGTGGCACTTTTGAGGTTTATCAATGAAAAGGGTATAAATATGTCCCGAAATGTCAATTCTGCACTGGAAGAATAAGGAAGTTAAAACACGGAAGTTGTCACCATCTTCAACACAAGATTGGTTACTTTCAGACTTAATGCAGAATAATATGTGATAGTTTAGATATGGATTTTTATTAACAGAAAATCCATGCTAATCCTATCAAGAATGTTTGATGGTACAGAAATAAACTGTTATAAGTTCAAGATAAACCAATCTGATTATAGGGGACATTGATGGCAACAAGCGAAGTATTGTGTATATTTACCAGTTGCAACTTCAACATGATAATCTGCTCCCACCAACTCCAGAGATGTGATAAATTACCATAACATCCGATGTAAATGACCATTAAGAATGATTTACACCACCAGAACACAGAACAGAACAGATGCCATTTCAAGATCACCCTCTGCTGGGTCAAGACCAGTGATCTGTTTGTTTTGGGGAGAAACAGATGGTCAAAGGGGTAAAATACAATCGACAAGTTGAGGGATAACAGCTAGTAGTTATTTGCTAACCGTTGCAAGTACACTTGGCCAATTGGGGTGTAATGACTCATTAGGGCCATGATACATTACGTATCACAATACACAGGTTAGGATACGATACATATCACATAACGTTGCAAGTACACTTGGCCAATTGGGGTGAAATGACTCATTAGAGCCATGATACATTACGTATCACAATACACAGTTTAGGATACGATACATATCACATAACGTTGCAAGTACACTTGGTCAATTGGGGTGAAATGACTCATTAGGGCCATGATACATTCATTATCACAACATAACGCTAGTAAGTACACTTGGTCAATTGGGGTGAAATGACTCATTAGGGCCATGATACATTACGTATGACAATACACAGGTTAGGATACGATACATATCACATAACGTTGCAAGTACACTTGGCCAATTTGGGTGAAATGACTCATTAGGGCCATGATACATTACGTATGACAATACACAGGTTAGGATACGATACATATCACATAACGTTGCAAGTACACTTGGCCAATTGGGGTGAAATGACTCATTAGGGCCATGATACATTACGTATCACAATACACAGGTTAGGATACGATACATATCACAATATGCATAATTACGTCAAATTGTGTGGACACTTAAGAGCAGGTTCTAAGGAAACAAGATGCTCAAGAAACATCTTTGCATTTGCTATTTTTGTAATGAACTCAAAATGCTAATCACAACACAATTTTAAAAATTGTGACAAAAACACTGTGGGGGGTCACTGAAATATAAGGAACAAATCAGCAAGTGTATCATCTTGTATCTGTATCAATACAGAAACAAACGTATCCGATATCGTTTCTTCATATTCAATAACCCACGATGCACTGGTGCACCTGTTATGGCAAACATAACTGTAAGGACGATGCACAGATCTATCTGCTCAGTAACGTTCCATCGATGAACTACACACAGCTGGCAGTTGACACCCAAGTCATAATAATGTGGGAATGATTTATGATGTTGCCAAGAAAAGTCGACCCCATTAGGGAAAACTATGTTGAATAATGTTTAACTTAAATATCCATGATACATGGAACTATAAAGCTACATTCCCCTGTGTCCCAGGTTTTAACACCACTGTGTGCGATTCAGCCACTGAGCTCAGTACCATGTGGGTTGGGAGATGAATTCACGCTATAGCTTCATCCTTCAATCTTGACACAAGACTGTTTTTGTTGCCAATGACATGTCCTTGGTTGTTTTACACTGTTCAACATTTGCTAAGGATCACAACTTTGACCAAATGAGGCCATTCTGGTCCTTATCAAACGTTGAACAGCATACATTCATCATGCGACTGCACGTCATGCTGGAGTAAACAGGCAACCTTGGTTTCAAGGTCGTGGTCAAGGGCACCAAGAATAGCAAAACTTCCATAAACTGCTTGCCAACCCCTCCAGACTTTCATTTGAGACTGCTCCAATTATTTCGACAATCTTCAGCCATATACAGCAAGGAACCAGCAAGGTTCCCAGATACATGAAACTAGCTGACCGAAGTTATCAAATTCAGAGGATATTGGCCAATTTCACCACAATCTCTGGCACATTTAATGAAGTCTTTAACAAAAAAAATTCGGTGGCCAAAAATGCATTCTTTTTCAGCCTGGTGCATCCATCCAAAAACTGCTAATCAATCTTGTACCTATCCTGCTATTAAACCGAACATGAAAAACGTCTCTTTCCTGCGTAATCAGGCTTTTCATGTCGTAATAAGCATTGATCCATGAGATTTGGTCTCTGTTTTTACACTTAACTGCAGAATTATCCTTGCATGTGTAGACAATTAAGGCTTCCTTGGGGTAATATCCTCCCAAAATTTACAAAAATATTCCCATTTGCATTTAATGATAGGAGAAAATTTGTCTGTTTAATGCAGGAACAACAACTGGGACAAGAAGTTTTCTTTTCATCTTCCGATGATAATGGAGGGCCAACAACAGGCACTTAGCCAGTTTATCTCAAAGGAGAGGACGAGGGATGGACATTTAGTCTATCTACACTGGCTATTGACAACCATGTATTCTAAAGTCCAATCCTTCCTCAGTGATAACAATATCTGCATTACAAGATCACCAACAGCATTGCTTTTGATCATTTTCTTAATTCCGAAACCTTTCTTTGAGAACCACTTTCTCTTATTCGTTTGACTTTACGTTTAAGAAAAAGGTTTCTTGATGAAAGTTCATGCTTTGCAGATTCCCTATTCAAAACATCCTCTTGTGATTATGTTTAAGAAATAAAAAACTGAATCTTTTTAACCCCTCATCTTGAATTCTTCAACTTTGTGTTACAATGATCAATCATCACCAGTGAAAGTCAGTGATTTGGATGCTGAAGCTGAGGAAGAACTTTCTGGCGAGTCCAGATTGCGTTAACGATGGCGGTTCTTATTACACACTGCCCACCCTGAAGTCAGAATTACTCTTAAGCCAGGGTGAATGCTTCAAGTCACAAATGGACTCTCCTACAGTCTGAAGAAGAGACTTACACAGAGTTAGTCTCTGTGCTGTGAATGTGCCAGTCACGCAGTGATGTAATCGGCTGTTTGCCATGCTGCTTGTACACACTGATCTCAACTGTCTGTACACATTAGGAAGCGAATCGGAAGGGCTTTCACATTTAGTAATTAAATTGTAGGTGGAGCAAATGTTAATGGGCTGTTTGAGGAAAGCAGTTTGACAGAATCATGGAAGAAAATTGGAGGGAAATGTCAGAAAGTTACCAGAAGAAGGATTTGTGAACTTATGTGGAAGTGACCTGGGGACAACACAAACAGGGGTTGCAACAAACGGTTGG